CTGCCTAGCAATGAGCCTACATTATTTAAACATTAAGGTGGAGGTTCATTCAATCTACCCTTGCCTGACAATATTTTCGTTTTTTCTTCTGGTTCTGCTGAAAATAATCATGCACTCCATGGAGAAACCCATGGAGTGGGTTATGGAGTAGCCATTCAGGTAACAGAAGGGAGAGAGTAGCATCTAATCAACAGACTGGTAGTCAAAGATAACTCTCATATTATGTATCCAAAAAAGAGAAGTTGAAAACTGTTTCAAATTCTGTTGTGGGTTCTCAAATCTACTGGGGACTTGTTCTGGGGAAAAGTAGGGTTCACTGGAACAGTGTGCTTCCAAGTCCCACGTTGTACATCTTAAACTCCTGCCTAAAGGCACTTCAACCCTGCTTATATGCAAAAAGGTATCCAAAAAGGCCCTCAAAATAGCCATGACTATTGTTATGAGGTCTACATGAAAAATGTCCTTGGAAATTGCTTGGTAATCTCTACTGGTACAGGGCAATGCACAGGCTTTCTGTGCCTACCGCAAGATTAAAAATAAAACACAGCCCCCGCCACCAAAGAACTTGCAATCTATTTGGGAACCAAGACCAATACACAGGAAAGATCACTAAATATTAGAAAACGGCATAAATTAAATTCTGACTCAGAACCAAGAGAACAGTTCGACTGCACAGCGGCTCCTCCAACAGTGACGCTCTCGATGTAGAAGGAACCCGTCTGTTTTTTGTGCCCCAACTGACACTTGGCACAACTTGGAAGAAACTATTCTTTACTAGTTGCAAAGATGCAGAGGATCCTACAATCATTTACATGTGGTTTGGAAATCAGGGTCTTTTTTTTTCCTCGAATGGGTGTGACCAATAGTCTTCAAACCCACTTCAAAGAAAAGTTAGATGACACAACCATGAAGTCATTGGGAGAAAAAAGGAAACTGTCCAACCCCGATCCATGACACCCTGAGATCTATTTCATTCAGAGAACTGGTAGATCTTATCTTAGATTGATACAACATGGCAACAAATGTATGCTTGAATGTTTTTCCTTCTTGAACTTTCCTTGTTGCAGGCAAGAACGAGCTGAGAGAGTGAAGAGGTCACCAGTGAGTGGATGAGCAGCCCTTCAAAGGGACTCAAACTCCGGGGTCCTGACTATGTAAAAGATGGCACAGGGAAGCAGGGAGGACACCAGGTGCCAGCTGTGCACAGGGGTTAAACTTCTATGTATGAAATTCCTCCTTTGTCTTTACTTGGTTGGAGGGTAAAAAGCATTCCTTTTTATTTTTTCTTTCAACTCAAGTATTGTTGATGGGAAAACAAAACTAACTTAAAAAACAAAAGGGAAGCTCTTTCACAAGTCTGAGTTCCTTGGAATACTGTACTTCCAGGTCTTATATTTTATGCTCCAACCTCGTGCCTGTAGGCAGTTCAAGCTTACATATAGCCATGCCAACCGTATGCTGTCAGGTTTTAGTATTACAAGATGAAGTGTAGTCTGTGGTATCACATATACTTACAAATAGGTTCCCTATGAAGTGAGACTCAACTGGATGCAGAAAATTAAAGTAAATCCCTAATCATAATCATCAGGCATCTGGTTAAAAATGGAACCCCAGAGTTATAAGAGGAATAAATACTGAACACTAGTTACACATGCAAGGCTAACGTGGGGGAAAAATTGAAATGTCTTCTGGTTTGTGGTCAACCACTAGCATGCTGGCTTGTAAACAGGTAGTATTGTCTTGGTGAATAGTGTAGTGAAATTTATACAAAACCAACAAACATTTACTGTTGCTTAGTACGGTTGGAGTACTGTGCTGGGCATGAAAACAAAAAGACGAGGAAACAGTTCCTGCCTTCGAGGAGCTTACAGTTTACAGTTTAGTGGACTGACAAGTAAACACGTTAAATGCTGTGACACAAGTGGGTGTCCTCAAGGTGCTATGCAAACAGAGGGTAACCCAACTGGATCAGAGGAGGCCCTTGCAGGGGAGGCAAGCTTGAACAGAGTCTTGAAGGGTGAGGAGGGGACAGCCAGGTTAAAGGGAACTGAAGGGATCTGAGAAACTGGAAACCACGTGAGAGAAAGCAAAGGGAAATGAAGCAGCATTCCGTGTATCTGGAATACCATCTGCAGTTCAGTAGATAAACAGTAAGGCAAGGAACAGAGGGAGACAGGACTGAAGAAGTGGGCAAGAGCCCTGTCACCTCTGGTCTTCAATGTCATTCTAGGAATCCTGGGTCTTTTCTTCTGGGGGGAAGAAGGGGACTTTTAGCAGTAAAGTGACACAGAGGCCGTTATTTTATCTAAATCTCTCTGCTGTAGTCAGGGAGGATATGAGAGAGGAAGGACAGGGTAGGCAATGAGGAGGCTACTAAAATGGCCTAGGTGAGAGATAAGGGGTTAAACTAGGCAGTGGTAAGAGGGCTGGAGGGGAGAGGGAAGATTCTAGAAATAATCAGGAAGAAAAGTGTAAGGACTTGAATGACTGTATGTGAGAGATGACGGATGGAGGGGGACAGGGGAGCCCAGGATGATTCAGTCCTGGGTTTCTGGCTTGGGTGCCTGGGTGGATACTGGTTACACCAACCAAGATAACAAAAACAGGAAGAGGAGCTGGCTTAGACAGAAAAGGGGACTAGTTGAGTTTTGGAGTAGATGAATATAAGGTGACTGAGGCCAGGCAACCTGAAACTCAGGGGAAAAGCCAGGATGAGAGATGAATGTTTGAGAGCTGTCTGAATGTAAGTAGTAGTTCAAACCTTGAGAGTGGATGAAATCTATCAGAATCATGAGCCAAAAATGAAATTCAGGGAAACACCAATAAATAAGGAGTAGACAGAAGAAACAAGCCCACAAGAGAGAAAAGAACTAACACAAGATGGAAAGAAAATAGAGAGACAGGTGAAACAGAAGTCAAAGGAGGACACATTTCAAGGATGAGTGAGGGATCAGCAGTACCATATATAGCAGGTAGACACAGCACAAAAAGCCTCCAGATTTGATAATCAGGGGGTAAGTGTTAAGGGTTGAATTGTGTCCCCTACACACACACAGCTGGAGTTCTAACTGTCAGTACATCAGAATGTGACCTTATTTAGAGATAGAGTCTTTAAAGTTCAAATGAAGTCATTAGGTGGACCCTAATTCAATGACTGGTGTCCTTATAAAAAGGGGAAATTTGGACACAAAGACAGAAACACATAAGGGAAGATAACGTGAAGAGATATGGGGAGAAGACATCTAAAAGCCAAGAAGCGAGGCCTGGAACAGATTCTTCTTCACAGCCCTCAGAAGGAGCCAACCCTGCCGACATCTTCATCTTGGACTCCTAGCCTTCAGAACTATGAGACAATACATTTGTATTGTTTAAGCCACCTAGTTTGTGATGTTTTGTCACAGCAGCCCTAGCAGACTAACACAGTAAGTTTACCACGAGGAATTTCAGTTGCACACTAGGGGGAGAAGTCAGATTGGAGAGAGTTGAGGTGTGAATAGGCAGTGAAGAAGTGGGATTATACTTTTAAAAGGTTTACATGTGAAGGAGGTAGAGAGTGCTTAATTTAATTTAGTTTCAAGATCACAGAGACCTGAATGCTCTCAAACACAAATGGATAGATTTTTCTAGAAAGTTATTTATTAAAATGTATTGGCATAAAGTAGTTCATAGTTTTGTTCATTGTATTCTATGATTTTAAGAACGTCTATTATAGTTATGGTCACAATTTTTGTTTCTAGTATTATTTATACATTTTATCCCATTTCTCTACCAATTAGTCTTGCCAGAGATCTGTTATTAATCACAAAAAAAGGTTTTTGGTTTTGTTGAAAAAAAAAAAATAAAAGCAAAAGACAGACTGAAATTATAGGAGAGGGAGGGGATAACTGGCAGAGCAAGGTCCTGATGGGATGGGATCAAGGCCACAGCTTTGAACCTCCTGTCCTTGAGACTTTTGGGAAGGAGGGAGGCAAGAATGGGTGCGGGTGTAGGTCTCCTTGTCGGGAGGAAGCAGGAAGTTGACGATGGCATTTCCATCTGGTGATCTCAATTTTATTCATCAAGTAGGAAGTGAAGTCATCTGCTTAGAGGTGGGGGGCAGGGGTTAGGGAGGGGACTGAGCAGGATGGTGAAAATGGAGAAGAATTATGCTAAGGAAGGGTGAGAAAGCTGAGTGAGGACCAGTGATGCTGAGGGTCTGGTCAAGCTGAAGACAGCCTTTACCTGCCTGGGTGTAACAGCAGCAGTGAGGGTGGACTGTTGCAGGATTAATCCAGGTTCAGTGTTCTGCCAAGCAGGTGTGACCAGGGGATGGAGCATAAGGAAACTGAGGATGCTGCTAAAGAAATGGTTTTAGTGCTCAAAAATGGAGACCAGATTTGGGGGGGATGGGAAAGAGGTAGAGGAGAACCAATAAAGAGCGAAAATGGAAGGATCCCTTTGTATTTCAGATCAGGTTTAGTGGGAATCAGAGTGAGTATGATGTTGGAATGAAAAGCTCCTGAGGTGCAGTGTTCTTGGTCATGACAACACAGGGCAGAGCAATGGGAGAAAGTGGCGACAGGGGAATGGACAGAAAGGCCATAGGAGCTGAGGTCCAGGCACTATAAGGGGGGGAGGGGTAGCACATGTTGAAATCTTCCAGAACAAAGGAAGGAGCTGGGGTGGAAAGTACCCCAGTCCCCAACGGATGTGACTGAAGGACAGAAGATTTATTGAGGATGGTGATACGGTGGGTTGGAGGATGGCTTATGCATCAAAGAGGAGGCTTCTGAATGCTTTACAAGTCAGACAGCTCCTTACCACGGGTCTGCTTTCATTCATATTTAAACACCCAATGTCTGGGGAGAGATGAATTTTTAAGTTTTATTTGTAGATCCAAAGAAATAAATTTTAAAGAGCTAAAAGAAGCGTTTTTGTTCTTGACGTAAGAATCATTACATGTTAAAATTATACACACAATACATAAAAGACTACTGATAAAATTTAGACAAACAACATACCAGAAACTCCGGGGGGTGTCTTGATGAATTTTCCATTAAAATGACCAATTACGGCTTCGCACTTTTCTGTTGACTCCATCCTATTTACATATAAAGATAGAACACATAAATTTATATTTAGAGATCTCTTAGTTTTCATTTTGTTCTGTGCACGTGAACACATTCTTATAGGTTTACTGGATACAAATGAAACCTAGCAAAAATGTGAATAAGAAAAAGTGCGTTTATCCTATCTTTTATCTAATTGCTGTTTGTGAACTTCTATAGTAAAATAAAACTGATATCCACAGTACATTTGGAATCCAAAGAAAAATAAATTATATCGAAGTGTTCACTATCAAGCATATCAAATTCTACAATTTTTTTTCTACTTGTTGGAAAACTGACAGTCAATAAACAATAGCTCTGTTAGTCATGATATTGAATTAAAAACAAAAATACCAGTTTAAAATACTCATGATTTGCTGCTGCTAGAATATGGGTCATTTAAAGACGGTCCTTCCTTTTACATATTCACAAAATGACAGGCTCAAAAGTCATGATAAGAACTAGTGTGAATCAGAGTGTGCCTTATATGTTTTTTACATTAGTTTCAAGTTTAAAATGAAATTATTAAAGTTAATTATTTACTTTCTTTGTCATCTTGGTTTTGGAGGAGTAATTAAAGGATGGAGCCTAACTTTATAACTTATTCTATGCCTGCAAGTGGTTAAAAACATTTGTGAAACATTTCAGGGGAATTAAAGTATTTTGACTTATTTTTCTTTAATGGAAGAAACATTCAATAATCTACTCAAATGCGCTACACTCCTGGACTACCCAGAGAGTTATACCTTGGTTTTAACAGGTAGTGATAGTTTTAAAAAGCAATAGAATTTAATTGGGTTCCGTCTTTGGATGTAGAACTGAAATTACTTGATCTGCTTTCAGAAGAACACCCACAGAGGGGACGATTTTTAGACGGTGCCGATCTTTTCACTGTTTCATCTGGATCCTTTTAACCAATAAGGCGTACACTGGAGATGCTAGCCTTGGTGACTTTCTCCTTGTAGAATATTTTAGTTTTATTATAAAATTATCTTGCTTAACAGAAAGAACAAAGGACTAAAAGCCAGAAGAACCAAGTACTAGACCTTGATTCATCAGTTGGAAGCCTGGTGACAGTGGAAAAGTCCCATCTTTGCCTCGGTTTTCTTATACGTAAATAGTGAACAATGCTTGCTTTGTTGATCTCATAGGTCTGTGTTAGATGCGATTGTCATCAAATAGGATAATGTAAAAATGTCAGCAATTTTTCTTCCAAAATCAAAGTCAATACTTTACACTTCTGTTACTGCACAGTATTAATAGTTTCTAAATAATGTATTTTGTACCTGGGCTTTCAGATTCGAACTATGTCAAAAATCAAAGCTCCTTCTGTGTAAGATTTTTCCTGTAGAAACCAAATTAACCATTACACTGAAGTATCCTTTCTGGGGAGTGAGGGCCCTTTAGATATATCTGTAACTTTTTACTTCTTAAAAAAACAATCTGAAGCAAAATTATAAAATGCTACAATTGGTATAGCAATTGGTGGTTATACGGTTGTCATATCATTGTCTTACTTTCCGAATGTTTGAAATAATCTAATTCATTGACTTTGTCGATGATGATTCAAACTTCCATCTAATGAAAAAAAAAATCAATTTATTTAGGAACCTGAGATCTTTATTTTGAAGGGTTATACGCATCCTGATCTAATTAACCAAAATATTAAGGACACACATTTTCAGAACTATTGTTCATGTGATATTTCCTTGCCCGGAGCCAGCAAAAATTTAGTGTCCTCAGGTTCAAGAATCCTAACGAAATTCTAAAGGTTTGGAAAAATGCAAACCAGTATTCACAAATTTAATTTAATTAATTTATTTATTTTCCCCCAAAGCCCCAGTAGATAGTTGTATGTCATAGCTGCACATCCTTCTAGTTGCTGTATGTGGGACGCGGCCTCAGCATGGCCGGACAAGCGGTGCGTCAGTGAGCGCCCGGGATCTGAACCCGGGCCACCAGCAGCGGAGCGCGAGCACTTAACTGCTAAGCCACAGGGCCGGCCCTAGTATTCACAAATTTAAATTCACGGTGCAACTGGCTGCCATAACCCCGGCTTAAATTCTCTCTTCTTGCTCAATTTTTATTTTCCAGGAAACTTTGCAGGGCTATTGTTGTTGAAATAATAAAGACAGTGCAGCATGCTTACCTAGCAAAGCCAACACCACGACTTGTACCACTGGAATCACGGAGTATCCTCGTAGAAATAACTTGTCCAAATGGTTTGAGCATATTTTCAAGTTCCTGCTCATCCATGGACAGTGGCAAATTAGAAATATACAGGTTGGTAGGATCTTGTTCCTGTTGCTAAAACAGAACACAGAATTGTCCATTAATTCCCAAAAGAAGGTGAGATGTTTTTTATGTTAACACGTCTACTTTTATTTAGCCACTGTCATGGCTCAGGTCCTTTTAGAGTACTCCCTAGTAAGACCACGGGAACTGCAGAACACCCAAGTCACCCTGGACGCTTGAAAAGAGTATCTGAAGCTTGGACAATCTGTGCAGGTCAGACATGTCCCACCGAGCCATTCTTAGTAGATTTGGAAGTGGAACTGCTGGCAGGCACCGCTGAGTTGGAGAGGATGCCCTTATGGAACCAGGACTCTCAGCTGTTTGCAGTGTTCCCAAAAATAACCAACGTCCCCTGCACAGTCCATCCCAGGCACACTGTTGCACAGAAGGCTATTACTGCTGATAATTCAATCCAGACAAACACGACAGATTCTAGACCAAGCCATCTAAAGTATAGGGGAGCTTTGCCCAAATTCCCCTCCTCCGCTCCACAGCAGGGTCCTTACTACTTTTGAGTTGTGATCACCAATGGGAAAAGGAGAGCTCCTAAATTAACAAAAACAAGGAAACTCAAAGCATGTAACATGATAAACTCAAGACAGAGAAAATTTTAGAATCTGGGTAAAGCTGAACTCAAGAGTAGATGGGGGAGGTAGTTTTGCTAAATCCTTGCTACTCAAAGAGTGATCCAGGGGCCAGTAGTGATGGAATTACCCGCAAGCCAATTAAAATGCAGAATCTCAGGCCCCATCTAAGACCTACAGAATTAGAAGCTGCATTTTAACAAGACTTCCAGGTGATTCATATGCATATGAAAGTTGAAGAAGCAATAACTAGATATTTCCCACTCACCTTTCCTTTGCTGAGATACAATCAGCTGAAACCAAAGATATGCAACTGAATTTTCTGAGAACCAGTAACTGCTATGTATATTTACTAAGAGTACGGTGCTAAATCATCAGGGAAAAAGCTTATATGACAACTGGAATATTTTCTGACCAAGTCAAAACTCACCTCTGCAATTGTGAGGTTAGGAGAGTCAATTAATTTTAAAGCAGGCTTTCCTTTGATCTTATTAACCAACTGTATCTTTACAGAATGAACTATGCAAGCTTATACCTTTTCTTTAATAAGCACTATTAGTAAAGTCAATAATTGATGTTTTAGCCTTAGGCAACAGAATGGTGTACTCATTATATTTTAGATTTCCAAAATGCAGAGTACTTTAAAAATATATGCGAAGCATATGCATGTTTGAATTGCACAGTCTCTACTTTCAAGTGCGTCCTAGCATTAATTAAACCTAAAATGAAACTTGCCCTTTCATAAAATCCCCAAGAAAAAGTGAACGCTGATCTTTCGTGCTATACTTACCTGGTAAGATTTAAAATAACAATCTGGCATCCTACAGAATGGTAAATACCCTGGTATTCCCAAGAATGAAAGTTATCAAAGACTGAGAAACTATGGGCAAAAAGCCCTGTCCCTATGACTTCCTGGTTCTGACAGAAGGCGGCAACATGTAACCAGGCCAGTTCCAAAGGTACAGAGCAGAGGTTCCCAACCTGGGTGACTCAAACTGGCAGAGGCGTGTCAATGCGGGTGGGTCCAAGAAAAAAATTTAAAAATTTTCAAATGCTCAAATAGCAAGCCAAACACTTAACCTCATTAACCCTTCACAGAAGACACAAAATGACAACTACCTTTGCTTCTAGCTGAAATGGATAAATTCAGAGTGGTACCACTGATTATGTTAAGCCGAGCAAAACCCACTGACAATCACAGAAAGTGTATCTTTAATGTATAAAAATTGGAAAGGGATTTAAAAAAAGCACAACAATAATAGATAAAATGTTTCAAAATATAGGGCAAAGCAAAATGGTCTTAGATATTAAAGTTTTCAAATTCTTCTGAGGTGGGACAAGTGGTAAAATCTCATTTTCACTTCACTCACTACCTTCACCCAATTAATTACACAGCTCCTCGATTAGCCATCTCAAGTCAGCTCTAACTCCTAAGTCCCCAAAGCTTTCCTGGAGTGCGAAAGACTCGATTTGTTCCTGTGGAAGTCTGGTCCTTAATCGGCCAAGGCAGATGGGGTCCCTTCCCTCTGAAGGTGGGTACTGAGGGGCCCTGAAGCCTAATACAGCCAAATGACATTTACAATGCCTCTCATACATCCCAGACTCTCCTTACACAATAACCGTGACTCGTCCTGTCTTCTAGCTGCCTACAGTTAAGTAGGGGAGAGAGAAACACACGTAATGAATGCTGTAATAGAGACATGTACAAATCACAATGGGAGGACAGAGAGGGGCGCTTATCTTAGGAAGATTAGGGAAGCACCCTTCCGAGGGCATGATATTGAGTTGAGACTTGAGAAACAAGCAGAAGTCACAAGGCTGAAACCAGATTGTGAAAGGCTATCTAAGGAGTTTGATTGTTATTTTGTCAGTCATGCCTGCTTCAACTTTTCCACTTAAGCAATGCTAACAGCAAGGAGAACTACATACCCTGAAGAGTCTGTAGTCAAAGGCCAAAGAGTAGGCTTGCCAAAGCTGCAAAATTTCCTTAAAGCCTTGTGCTTTATCTCAAAAAAAAAAAAAAGTCACATAAATTTTGCAATCTACTTCCTAACTACTGGAGTTTGTTTTAATATAGAAACAATATTTCTGACCTAATCCTTTCAAGTAACACTGATCCTCCAGGGAAGTAAGCCATGTTTACCCTGGAGGGGGAGGGGGAGGAGCAGGGAGGAGGGACTGCAGTTAGAAGGCCACGCCCTGAAAAATGGGAGCTTGTGGAGGCATGAAAGCAGGGGAGAGACAGGATCAACTCTATCTTATTAGAAAGATTTCTGAATCATGCTTAGTCAGATTCAGAAAAAAGCTGGGAACTTCCTAATTAAAAAGCATTAAAACACTCCTTGGACAAAGACATGGCATAAAAAAAAATGTTACATAAGAAACATATCATCAATATTGTGGGCTTTCTTTTTAAGCTAAGTTTAAGTTCTTATAAAAATCTGACTAATATTTAAGAATGTTCATAGGAGAATTTGTCATATGTGAAGTATTTTTAAAAGCGTTGACGATGTAGGTCTTGTAGGACAATGTAGTACTTTCTAAATCTGTGTTTTAGTTGCTTCTATTATTAAAATATTAATAAAAATATTATATTCTTTAAAGTCTTGATTCACCTTGAAAGTTTACCAATGAAGAAAATAATAATTGCTAAAATCAGAATCCAGAAAGAAATGGAGCTCTTAGCCCATTCTTTGATAAATAGTGAGATGGAGTAGACTAAAATACAAGGAAATATTCCCTATGATTTTAAGGCACTTGTTTTCAATAGCAACAACTCAGTTAATTAGGTTTCGTCATTGGAGATGACCCTTAGAGCTAATGTTATTTACCTGTCTTTTCAAATGGTCAGCTTATCCTAATGCAAACATTGACTACGAAGTTGCAATAATTAAAAAAAAAAAAAAAAAAAAACAAGAAGAAGGAACTCCAAGCTGGCAGCATTGGCCACAAAATGATCTAATCCCCAAGTGTCCACGCATTCTAATTACCATACATTCACAGTGAATGGAATATATAATACTTGTAGTAAGTGGGGTGGTTCCTGAATGAGGGTAATTTAGTTTCTTTAAAAGCAGTGACAACCATAACTCTGTTTTATTACATACAATGCTATGTCTGAAAAAACAATTATTCTGTAAATTATGGGTGGCCAAACATAAAAATGGGGCCAACGGGCCTCTTTATATCCCTAGGCATGGAGAGAGTTCAATGGCTTCTCTAACAAGTAGAAAACTAGATCCCACATTGGCCGTGAGAGGGATAAATGGCTACTAATGTTCACTTGAGTAGAAAAGCGGGGCTCGGAGGTCCCGCCTGGTGTAAAGCACTCAGTCATCATCTGAAAGAAATTAACAAAAACCTCCCTGTGCATGTGGAATGGTTCCTAAAATACAAGAAAGGGACTTGGCAGGAAGACCAGACATCTGTTTTCTCTTGTACTGAATAGGTTCCCCAACCAGCAGATAGCTGCTTACGGGCATGTGAATGCAAACTGCTTGAAGCACGGTAGACCTCTGTGTGGAAGAGGGGTTAAATTCCTGCTCTATTGACTGCCTATTTACTGAAAAAAATGTGCAAGCTTACCACCAGGCAAATACCAGGCGATGATCTGCTGACCTCCAGCAGGCCTTAAGAGGTATGCTGAAAGGCCCACAGAAGTCATTCTGGTCACAGATATCACCAAGGTTGATTTGAGTTTTCCGTCTCTTTAGCTCGTTATCTGAGTTCTTCTCTTTTTTTCATAGATTCTGAGTCTTCTATTTTAAAAAGGCACACATGGGAAACAAATGCCAAGTTTAACATAAATAGAAATGGCCTTGAGCCTTTGGGAAAACCTTTTGGTAAGTTTCATCTGGGTACTCTATGGACAGAGCCCAATAAATATAATTTTCAAAGGTCCCATTCTTAATTCCCAATATCTGTCCAATCTGGGAAGAAAGTTTTTCTCTTGCATAACTGGCTTCTTTGATCATCAACAAAACAAACATTTAATATCTACCATATGCCAGGTACCAAGCAAGGCAGTGAAAATTAAAACAGGAATAAGAAATAATCACTGCTGTCTAATGCTCTCCACTTGCAGTTTTGCAATTCAGTTCTGAATATTTGTGGAGTCCCCTTTCAATCCAGGTAGCCAACGCGTCCAACAATATTATATTCTCCCTCATCCCCGGACTCCGCTAGTAGAATGCCCCTTAATTTTTTCTGATTACATAAGAAATCAAGCCTTTAGTATGTGGCAATGTGAATTTTTAAAACCTTATAGTAACCTGATTAATTCACTAGAGGAAAGTGGACGGTGACTGGTCCCTTATCACCCAACCATGGGAGCCAGATCTAAACTTCTTTTAAAAAATTGTCTCCACAAAAGGTGCATGCCAGGTGCTCCTTTATCCAGACAGCATAAAGGGGCTAAGTCAACTCCAGATACTCAAATCCATGGCTGTGGCATAGAACAATGGACTCGCTAGCATTTAAAATACCTTTGTAACTTTAACGGTATAATAAAAAAGAAATCAGGTCCAGGAAACTCAGTTAGTCTACAGAGACCTGAAGAAATTCAAAGTGCAGAATGTTGGCACACTGCTAGCGTCTCTGAACCTGCATACTGCTCCTTCCCTACAGATGATGTAGGAAGGGATCATTTTTCCTAGCCAATTCACAGGATCAAGCCTCCTAAAGAGGTCTTTGAACAGTGCTCATTATCAACCCCCGGGAAAGCTGGCATTCAAAGTGCACTGTTGACACGATATGTAGTGCCAATCTATACCCAGGCCACTTTTGACTAAATGCATTGTCAAGACTTCTTCGAAACAGTGTATATTTAACATACTATGCTGCTTAATATCACTGGCATTGAAAAGATGCCTAGGTAAGTGCTCACAGGGCCACTCTAAATAAGGCTTCTGCATTTGTAGCAGGTTGTTAAAATAGGCCTATTTCTAACTTTGTTTCAGCAGAAGCCACAAAACAATGGGTGTCAGGCACTCCCACATTCCAGAATGAGAAACCAGACCACCTAAAGAGAGTCTGCATAGGAGCTGGCTGAGAACTGGTTTGGGATGCTTAGCTGACCACCCACCTCCTGTCTGTCTATGAGAGACTGGAGAGGCTGAGAATGAACACGTATATGGAGAGAGACGCTGATGTGTTCTGAGTCTCACCATGTGGGCTGCTTCCCTATCACCGCCAGTCAAGCAAGAGGGGCTTCAGAAACAGACCACTCAGGAGGCTTGATCTGCGTCCCGTGGAGCTTGGTGGATACTGTGGATCAATGTCCGACTTAAGCCTGAGGAAGCTAAAAGGCAAAAGGCTGGTTGACAGGGCCTATCAGTGTGGTTGGGAAGTAACTACTCTCCCACGGTTGGCAAACGTAGATCAGATATGGGCCACACAAGGTCGAGCCGGCCCAGGGTTGTGTTAGATCCTCCCAAGAAAGCTGCCTTGAAGGGCAAGAAGGTCCCAGCAGAAAGGGGCTAAAGACAGACCCTTAGATTATCAGAAGCTGAGGCTAACGGGCTGAGGACATGTATTCTCTAGCTTCAAGGAAGCATGAGGGAAAGATCAATTGGGCGTGCGGGAGGTAAGAGATCTCTGAAAAATTCCCAAAGCATTCCGTGAGGGAAAACGTCAGCTCTCTGTCTGGACAGAGAAATCAACACCAGATTACATCATTGTCAAGTCAAGAAACTTTCCCATCCTTACCACTGTTCCAACCCTGGAGGAGTAGAAACCACGGCTAGACAGCGGATGAAAGAGTGGGAAAGACACAGGTTTGGGAAACAGGAAAGAAACTAACCATGCTCCCATCCCACTACAGGCTTACTACTTAGAACAGACCTGAGCTGCGGGAAGGGAGACGCTTTAACATTATATGATACTCAAAATTTTGTCAAATAAACAGGATTGGACATTTAAATTATAGGCATCACACACTTAACATCAGTAACGTGTTCTTGAAAATCAGACTTTCAGCATCAAAATGTTAACCAGGAGCTTATTTCATATTATTTCAAATAAAAAAAATTATAATGTATTCCACATTAATCACAACCCCCAATTTCCTAAAATGTAACTAAATACATTTGCTACATATCTATATGTGAGTATTTATGTGTGTGTATACACACACATAATAGATGGTTATATTGGGATGTAAACCTTTAAAACATTGCTTCCTGATCACCAAATAATCATTTGTTATTGTTAGCAGACAACTGCTTTGTAAGCTGTGATTTCTTCTGGCACCAGCAACATCCAAGACACACGTCCCTTTTGCTGACTCTCAGCAGAGTTTTCGAAACCTCTACACATGATTCTGACATTTTACAAATTGTATTTGGAATGTAACTTGAGATTTTCCCCATACAACATCTTCTTTAAAATATACTGAGGTTAATGTAAATACATATAGAACCAGCTGAAAATGTACTGAAAGATAATTATGTTCCATGAAATTTGGATATGAAAAATCAAGAGGCATTCTACAGAAAAAAAAATTAACCAGAAAAACCTGAAATGAAAGAAGCAACTGAAGGGACTTTTTAAAATAATGAGAGTGGCCAGACAAGTCATGGGACCTGCCCTGGATTTTATCCACGCGAGGAGGAAGGAGGAGCTTCATAGAGTAGAGGAAACGGACAGAGTAGGGGAAAAAAATCGAGCTGTTTTCTGATTGTGCCTTAAAAGTCCTGCTTATAAAATGTATGGTTACCCATTGTTTACAGATGCAGATTAAATGTTCTGCAAATCATTATACAACATAGGTATTGCACATTCACAATTAAATATATTTAAAACCTCATAATCATTGTCTTTCAACAATGCCACAGGGAACTGCTCTATATTATGGGCAAATAATCTGAAAATCATGGTGCTTAATATTTACAGTTCCTGTTTATTTTACCTTCTTACTCTGGAGTTCAAGAAAATCTAAAATTAGTCCAACTCAATCCAAAGCTTTAAAAATATTAAAAGTCAAGAACTACTTTAGAAAGGTGATCCTTTTCATAATTCCTGAAATCTTTATGCTGATTCTTTTAGTCCTGGTAGCTGTACATATGTCCCTCAGTAGCCTTAAGGTCTTAGCAGGTAACTTATCTCTTTACTGGAGTCCTTTAACCTCCATAAATTTCCTTCCTTATGGAAATGGGAATGCTCCTCAGGGAATGATCACGTGCTACTATTCAGAAGTAGCAGAAGACAGCACAAAATTACTTTTCTCTTTACTTCAAGAAGCCAGATAATATGAAATTATTGATCTTTTGAAAAGAATACACAAAATATCAAACTGCGGAGTTTCAGGCTTGAAAATATTTTCCATAGCAATTCAAGGACCACAAATGGAAAAAAAGATGTACATGATTATATGAATATCTTAATAAGTGCACTATAGGTACTAGGTATGGTATAACCCAAGTTTACATTTGGGCCATAAAGACTGGGGCATAAATATCACTTCAACAATATTCCTCATCTAGAATGCTAAAAGTTCATCAGAAACATGTCTTGAATAAAGTCACCGCAGAACTACTAGAGCAGATTTATATCCCATAAATAACCAGTGTCTAAATAGGTCTGACTTATACAGATTCGAAATGGCACCTGTAGGTTACATTGCATTAAAACTACTATTGAGGATGTGGAGGCATGGGGCAAGTGTCCAGCAGTAACGGTGGCTAGCTGGAATGGCGGGGAGAATGCGAACGGTGATAGGAGAAGCAATGTGTCAGCCTTCAGAACCAAAGCCAGGCAATAGAGAAGACATTCCTCGCTCTCAACTCACCTTTGCCATTTGAGCTTGAACTCCACTAGCCTTCAGGGCAGACACAGCTTTCTGAGCTGCTGCCGGACTGTCAAAGTCAACAAAACCATAACCTGAAATGGAAAACACACTGAGTTTAAAGCCATTATTTTATGATTATGTGAAGAGTAAAAGAATGACTCCATTTGGTTTCAGATGCAGGCAAAAGAAACGAAAACCCTGATGTCCTGACGGGTCTCAAGCTTTAACAGCCGCAATGCAGCATCCTCCTCAGGCTGTCCTTCCCTGTTGTCTACCAGGGGCTAGACAGGCTTCCCTTCAAAGTAATAATAATAATAGTAATGATTAAAGAAAAGGAACGAGCTTGCCCCTCTTCCAGATCTTTTTCTCAGGTATCCTGTACTTACTAAAAGAAAAAAAATGACATCTAAATTACCAAACAAGGTTAAAAAAAAGGGAGGGTGGGGACGTGAATCAACTTCATTGCGTTTTTTTTTTTTTTGTGAGGAGGACTAGCCCTGAGCTAACATCCGATGCCAATGCTCCCCTTTTTTCTTGAGGAAGATTGGCCCCGGGCTAACATCCGTGCCCATCTTCCTCTACTTTACATGGGACGCCGCCACAGCATGGCTTAACAAGCGGTGCATTGGTGCGCGCCTGGGATCTGAACCTGCGAACCCCGGGCCGCTGCAGCGGAGCCCACGCACTTAACCACTTGCGCCACCAGGCCGGCCCCAACTTCACTGCATTTTTAATGAGTTGGTAAGAAAAATGGAGCTATCTTATGGAGCTTACAAATGACAGAAACAAAAATTATGTGTAGACTAAGCTTTATTTTTCAAATAACTTATTAAGTACAACCATTAGGTATCTAAAACATAAAAAAAGTCTAAATTTTAGTAATTGGTTAAAAATATCATTACTTATTTACCTAAAACATAGCTCATAATCTTCCTTCAAAATAAAGGGGGAAAAATGCCTCCAGATACCCAAAATAGCTGTTTCAGCAGTTCATGCCCTAAAGTCTTAAAACATAACAAAACAAGCAAATAAACCAATAACCTCCTAAGAGATGCCCTGCTTCAAAGCTTATTTATCCATAGCTTTACAAATATTTTTAACAACCTGGCAGCTACTTCCCCTGGCCACAACAATGAAAAGCAGGAAATTAGGGAAAGAAAGGGTTGGGTTGAGGAGATGGCTGCTCCAAAGTAAGCATATGGATGGTATCTAGCAGTGAAAACTAGTAACAAGCAATAAAAGAGGAAAACTATACAAAGAACAGGATTTCTGCAGCATAAGAGCATCAGCCCCATGCATCTCAACCAATCCTGTGAGCATCATTGTATTCAACAGGCAATCATTGCTTTTTCACTGTGATAACTCCTAAGTTATTGAAAAAGGTTAAGTTATATTCAGCACACTGTTTAAAAGATTGGGATACCAAGCAAAAATACTAACAGAGATTTTCTGGGAACTCAAGCCTATTATAAAATTAATTTTAAAAGGAATAAGAATATTTTGAAAAAGTAATGTGTGGGAGGTTGCAGAGAAGAGGGGCCAGTCCTATCATCTATTTATAGATAGTTTAAAGATATAGTAATGCAGACAGTAAGGTACTAATGTCAAAATAGACATACATATCAACAAGACCAAAGAGAAAGCTCGGACAAGATCCAAAGGTCATTTTGCAGTATTTGTACCAAAAATATTGCTGGTAACAAAACAGATGGTAATGAAACAGAGCGGACTATCGATTACAGAAATAGATGCTTTAGGAGAAATCAGTGTTAAAGCTGAAATAAGCAGTAGCTTCCTTCTATTACCTGGAATTGGATTGAAATAAGGCTTAATTTGATTTAGACAGTGGAGAAATAGCCAGGTTGGAAAGAAAAAGAAGAGGCTGACCCAGGTAAAAGCAGAAAATGCTACTCAACGGCCAGATTAGAAATCAAGTTAATCATATTTCAGGTGTTTTCTAGAAATCTGTTGTTAATGCTAATATGCAACCCTCTGTGGAGACACACACAGGCGCGCACTCACTCTCATACATATTTTAACACCAAACACAATTTTAGCAGGTCACAAATGAACACCCAACTACACTGAGATGATGTAATTCCTACCGATGGATATTTAAGTTTTCCCTCCAATTTTGCTGTAGTCAATAAATTACAATATATAGACGATCTCAATTTTAATGCTATTGTAGTTGAAGTTATTAACACTCAGGTATTATTAGTATTATTTTATGTTATTTTCTTATCAGGAAAAATCCATAATGGTTGCATTTTAGTTAATTGTTTACAACCTTTTCTGACCTTCTCCAAGCACATAGCTGTTTCATAAGCATTTGCTGAAAACAAATGTAACTGGTAAGCATGCAACCTTGTGCTTTCATTTTCTCACTTTCAAGTAAATATGAGTATATAAATTTGAGTTACACAGGTTTTACGGGGTCCATTATACAAATATGTATAAAGGTATTTTTGAAGGCAGGATTCACTCAATAACACAGCACCTTCTCACTGGATCTCCAGGAGGATCTTCTCAGGTCTCAAGAGCAGGAATAGTTATGGCGCTCCTGCTTCTTTGATTTTCCTCCACATTGTGATGACTGAATAATGGCAATAGCTATGTTTTCCATTTTTGCTTTGGCCACTAGGAAACACAGGGCCATTTCTATAGTAACCTGAAACTTCCTGCTCTCACCCCTATTTTCTCTTTGGTCTGACTTATCCTCACCCATTTTTAATGTGTGTGTGTACTCTCTGTATACATCTGTACGTGTGTATTCTGGTCTTACATGCCAATCCGTAAGCATTAATAATTAGGTAATTAGTGTTATAATCAATCCTTTGTACGCTTTTTTTGTCCTAAACTGCCATATATACCAGTGTTGGGAAGTGTTTAAATACCTTTTGTTGGCTAAAAACGAACAAAGATTGAAATGTAGAAGAGCAGCTGAATTGTGAATTTTTAAATTTAATAACTAAGGTACATGTTATTCAGAACGTTTCCTTCAACTTAATCTTGTCTCTTGGATAGAGGCTCTAAAATGTTTTGTGACAAAAAATGGTGCTATGACCAGTAAGGTCTCTAATTTCTAAGTTTAAAATTCTTTGATCTCACAATAGCCAAGACTTGGAAAGAACCTAAGTGCCCATCAATGGATGAATGGATAAAGAAGAAGTGGCATATATACACAATGGAATACTACTCAGCCATAAAAAAGATGAAATCGTGCCGTTTTCAACAACATGGATGGACCCTGAGGGTATTAAGCTAATCGAAATAAGTAAAATGGAGAAAGTCAAATAGTGTATGATTTCACTCATAAATGGAAGATAAAAAAACAACGAACAAACACATAGACACAAAGAATAGACTGGTGGTTACTAGAGGAGAAGGGAGGAGGGGGAAGGGTGAAAGGAGTAAAAGGGCACATGTGTATGGTGATGATGGTAATCAGTCTTTGGGTGGTGAACATGATGTAGTCTACATACAAATCAAAATATAATAACGTATACCTAAAATTTATCTAATGTTATAAACCAATGTTACCTCAATAAAAGTAAATAAAACAAAAAAAATTCTTCGATCTGTTCAATCTCCAAAAATTAGTACACAACACAAGCACTTTTCATTTATACTGATACTCTATAACCTCTTATGCATTATTTTTCATCCATCCACCCACCTACTACATTCTTAACATGGGTAACATGTTATCTTCATTATGAGCTATGGAAAGTGTTATTTCTTCTCATTTGTCCTAAAATTACTTTTTTTCAGGAGCTCTCTCTTTCTCACTTCCAGGATTTTATAAACCTATTTTTGCTTACTCTCTCCCCTCCCTTACTTCCCACCCACCCACCAGGTATCTGTTGACATCTATTCCTGAGAGGCCTGTGTGAGACAAAGATCCCTAAAAGGTTTCTATCCTTGTCCCCATACAACAGGCAAGTTATCTCCTGAGATCTGCTTTAAGAGAAGGTCTCCAGGAAACATGTATCGAAAATCAATTCGAATTATTCCTACCCTTATTTCAAAGCCCACAAATCGCTCCACTTATCTTTGGACCCTTGCCAACTGTTATGGGTTTGCATTATGATAATATGTTAGATTTAGCATTAGTATTTTTTTTACTCATACCTTTTCTAGATCATGTTGAGCACTTTGTGGAATTTTGGTTTCTAGGGAATAGGTTCTCACTGGAGAAGAGTATACAATAGTAGTTTCCAGTAGGTACATGGTGAAGAATTCAACCAGGAAGCCCTCTGGGTCCTCGCCCTCACTTAACTAGGGTAGCTCTGCTTTTTAACACACTGATCTGCTGTGTAAGATTTCTCTGTTGGCGGGTGGAGAGTGGGAGAAGGAGGAAAGGTAGGGTAAGGCTATAAAACCACTTGTCTACTGTGATTTCTCTCTTGGTTTGAAACTAATGTTTGAAATCAGCTTCCTGTTTTATGCTTGCAAGAGTTCACTTTTCTTTATAAAACCAAATATTTTTTTCTGTGTCCCTGCTTTCCCAAATCATTTACAAATATGTTAAATAGGACTAATCTTGGCAACTAAGTGTATACATTTCACTCTACAATTGGACTCTCTCTAGTTTGGTTCATTTAAAATATTTATTGAGTACTACTCTACATAAAGCACTGCTCTATTCACTGTCCTAAGGCAAAACTGCCCTCCTGTGCCATGCTGATTAAACATGGGCTTAGATATTTGTCACAATAGCTCCTTTAAATTTAGGAGCTTTGAAGAAGAGACAGAAATACAATGAACCACTTCAAGTCTAGATTAAAGGAAATGGCTGGCTTCTAAGGCGAGGCCCTCCGGTGGGGTTCGTTTCTGTTCTTTGCCTTTTTCAGACTGTCCTAAGCCACAGCCGTCACCACTACTTGAAAAACTGGGGTCTAATTAATGAGGAGATTTGCTTTCTCTGCCTATGCCTGTCAACCTTATTTCAATTCATGGGGTCAGTCGTTAGACTCAAAGTCAGCTGACTCCATTCTTCCCTTTTCCTAGAAATCACATGCCTATTGTTAAGATGCTGGATCATTAAAAGTCAGAACTACAGAGCATCAGTGCTGCCTTCTATAGACGCCTCCTCTTCCAGCTCATGGAACTGGATGAGCTCATCCCAATTACATGGAAAACTGAAGGTCAGTGCATCAAATTAATGCAGCAGCATATTTCAAAGGGGCGTGTGACCTCCCCTCCCTATTACAATTTGGTCTGTGAAAATGGTTCTCTCCTCCTGCTGCCAATATTGTCAACAGGCATTCAGCAGAGAACAATCGAGAGTATTGAAACATGTAATTAAGTACTGCTTAAAACTACTCTATTCTAATTAATAGAGCCAATTTGCACAATATGTAATCTTTTCAGTTCTTTAGTACAGTCCAGTGGTCTTCAGTAAGCAGCTCTAATCTCCTCAGACTCAGGGAAAAAAAACCTATTTTCTAACTCTATTCCCCTTTTAAAAGTAGGGGCTAAATGCCAACCAGTATTTTGCATGTTAACTCCACTGGCGTCAAATCTGGGATTCTGGCAAACTGCTAGCTGCTGTTGGGTTTCCAGCCAAAACGTGACCAGGGACAAACGTAAGCAATATGCTGACACTGTGCAAGACAGAAACTGGGTGATGTATAAGATTTGGTTTTTAATAAAACGGAGGTAGTTTTGAAACCAAAGATCAGGTTTAAAATTCCATCATTTTTCTAAAGCTATGATTTAGCAAATCATCAGCCAAGGAAACAGACCTTTGCATTTGTTCGTTGTCTTATCCAAAATTGCCTTTGTGGAGACGATTTTCCCATATCTAAAAAAAGACAAAAAGAAAAAAAAAGAAGTTATAATCAAGGAACGCTTATTAATGTCTAAGTCCAGAGAACACACATACTTTTCAAACATCTGCAAACTTTAAAGTACAAAATGTTCTTTTCTAGAGGACAGGAAATGAGAATTCTAAACTTAAAACTAAACTAAAAAGAGGGAATGGCTAGGCCTCCCAATTGAACCTTTGGATTAAACTTTCATGTTCAGCTTTGAGGAATTCAGTACTTACCTGACAAATCTTGGGACCAAAAAAATGGAATGTGAGCTCTATAAAAAATAGTTTCTTCTAGTAACACTATGTCTGGGGTCAAATACCAAGCCAAATGCAAGGCTTCAGAATTATTAAAGGAAAGTACTACGATCCACACAGCCTTTATGAACTAATAACTGGAGAAAAGCTGCCTGCATATCCATTCATTCTGGTTTAGCAGACAGTACTGCATGGCTCCAGATCCTCACAGAAGCATGCAAGCATGTGAGTGTATATGTTCAACACACGTGACAGTATATTTAAAACAGGTCTTTTTTTTTGGTGAGGAAGATTGGCCCTGAGCTAACATGTGCTGCCAATCTTCCTCTTTTTTTTTTTGCTTGAGGAAGACTGTCCCTGAGCTAACATCTGTGCCAATCTTCCTCTATTTTGTATGTGGGATGCCACCACAGCATGGCTTGATGAGTGGTGTATAGGTCCGCACCTGGGATCTGAACCCGCGAACTCTGGGCCGCTGAAGCAGAGTGCACAAACTTAACCACTATGCCACTGGATTGGCCCCTAAAACAGGTCTTTTATACCTAAGATTTTGATACCTGTTTATCAATATATTTATTAACATCTCTTTTAACTCAGTAATAATAGTTATACAACATACTCACTAACGTGTGTACATGCACATGTGTGCAAGCAATGGACAATCAAGAATATAAAACAATGAATCAGGGATTAGGCATTGATTTTATGAAGGTTTGTATGAGAAATGTGTTCAAACTCCTTAATGTAAAACAGAAGTTGGGGGAAGAAGGAAAAAAAATTCAGAACATTAAAATTTAGTACACTGCTATTGAAAATGAAGCAGCAGTATAAGCTTAAATATTGGTACTAATCCTACACCCTTTCATAATGACCACAGTGAGCACAACGTAAAACACTGCTTATCTACGTTAGTCTTCTAAAAACTGAGGAGAAAAAACTTTGAAAAATAATTCTTAAAAATTATTGGGACTTTGGGAAATACACATAACTTACTTCACGTATCTGAGACTCACTTCCTCATTTACACATCATGAATTCAAAAATTTTACTTTCCTATATATTTACAGTAAAAATTTCACATTTTCTCCAATACTGCTTTGTCATGATTGATTCTGAGGACTAAAACGTCTTAAACGTTTTAGGAAATGGAAGTATCTGTGTGGCATTTTAAACCATTCTGAATACTGTAGGTTTCTATTTGATGCACTGGACAAGCTGAAATATATTTATCTAGAACAAACAAATGGCTTGAGCCACCTCTCTCTCTCAGTTAATTTTCACTCTGTGTAATCATGTAATCAAATGATTACTAACTAGGCATGAAAGTAAAGATAATTTAAGGTTCAAATGACAATTACATCCAAGAGGCCTAATGCTCCACAAATACCTTTGATTCCCTGTGGAGATCCTGAGGATTTATAACAACATTAACACAGGTCACTAAGCTTACAAATAAAAAAAAAATCTGCAAACCAGAAAAAATAAGTGATTCAAAGATCACCTTTTAGTTACCATTTATCTACCTAGGTTATTTACATGCTTGATATTTACCAGTGCTCTCTTGTTTGCACAAGTTTTAGCTGAAAACGCTTTTAGATTGCATCCCTACCTCCTACCTTTCCAAAAGAAGAGAAGAAAGTTGGTATGACTCCAATTTAGGATAAGGGGATTGATAAAGGGATTGAGAGTCACAGAGATTAAGAGACTGAGGTCACGGAGTTCAGGGTCTTTTGTAAACCAAACAGAAGAAAGGAAATTTAGAGAAGGTCAGGGCTGGCCTTCTACCCTTCTGGTTGTGCTCTCCACATTAATGATGGGAAAGATAAAGACGTGGAAAGCAGGAAAAGAGAAGAGGCTCTTGGTAGCCCTGATAATCCATGCCACACTCTCTTCTGGTTTTGGTTCTCTGATCTCTTTGCTGCATTTGACATTACCATTCACTTCCACATCTATGCGATGTGCACCTCTCTCTGCCTCTGCCCTCCCTCCTGGGATCTCATTCCACCTTTCTGGGTTCTTTTCCTGTGGTTCTTTGCCCATTCAGCTTCCTCCTCTCCCTCCTGAACCAAGTACTTTCATCACGTTTAATATTGGGTACTCAACCCTTCCTTTTCCCAGGAAATTCATTCAAAGCCATGGTTTTTATTATGCATCTTCTCAGATGATGCCCATTTCTCCTTCTTGGGTTTTTTTTTTGCTGAGGAAGATTGGCCCTGGGCTAACATCTGTGCCCATCTTCCTCTACTTTATATGTGGAACGCCTACCACAGCCTGGTTTGATAAGTGGTGCATAGGTCCGTGCCCGGGATCCAAATCTGCGAAACTCCGGGCCGCCAAAGCAGAGCCTGCGAACTTAACCACTAAGCCATAGGGCTGGCCCCTTTGTTTTTGTTTTTAATCCCACTAAATCTTTAGTTTTTGTCTCTTCCTCTTTTAATTTAAATATCTTAGTATCTTAAGATACTTAAGTATCTAGTTAAATGTCACCTCATGCTCACTATTTTCTAAATCCCATCCCCAAAGAACCCCAAACACACCCTTCCCTGTCTATTCTTCATGTCTCTTTTCATTCAACAGCACTATCACACTCCCCATCTTCTACAAAGCTTGAGGCCCTTGAGACATCACCAATTCAGTCATTCCTGAATCCAGGAAGTTAGTACTCTTCTGAGTTTTGTCTCTGACATGCTTCTAACATTCATTCCTTCTCTTGATTGTGCTTAGACCTATGCCAGAAGCACATAAGAATACTCCTTGCCTCCAGCCTCTGGTCCCTCTAACCCTGTCTCCTGCATTAATTTACCTTAAACATCACTTGAAACATGCCTCTCTCATCTCTCTATTCTACCCATCCCCGATCTTGAAGAACCTGTTCAAACATTATCTTTTCCATGAAACTATCCCTAATCTCCTCAACCATTTACAGTCATGTGCCACAAAGTAACGTCTCAGTCAACGACGAACTGCATGTATGACGGTGGTCCCATAAGATTCATACGAGATAGCCTAGGTGTGTAGTAGGCTAAACCATCCAGGTTTGTGTAATACACTCGATGATGTTCACACAATGACAAAATCACCTACCGACGCATTTCTCAGAACATGTCCCCGCCGTTAAGTGTCACATGACTGTAGTAAGAAACCAGAAAAGGGATTACATTTACTCAGTTCCTACTTATGTTTTAGGCACTGGGCCAGGCACTTTGTATATATGACCTAATTTACTTTACAACAATCTATGAAGTAGCTATTATTATTCTCATTTTTGCAAATGAGAAAACAAAAGCTCATAGACATTTTGAGCCTAAGATCTTGCCTAAAACCCCACAGCTCAAAAACAAATTGTGTTTACATTCTCACTGAAATTTGTCTATGAAATAATCTTGAAAAATAATGTTTCCTTTATACACTCAGAGTATGAAAGGAGGGGAACAAAATGGAAGATCTCTTCTATTAAGGTATTGGAATAGATTTATTTTTCAAGCCAAGGCAAGTCTCTTGTTTGTCTTAAACACATGAAACAAATGTGTGGTTCATGGTTGAAAGAGCAATAAGGGGAGGAAGGTGTAGGAGAAGAGATATTTCTGAAATTTATCAGTTTTACTTTCTATTGTGGTTTTCATCATGATTTGTGGGTTAAGACTGAAAGACCACGACTTCCCAGAAAGTCAGAAAACAGTTTTCACTCTGTCTGTGGAACTATTGCATATGGCCTCCCTGCAATCCAGTGGATCAGGAAGATGCTTATCTGGAGTCACCTGAGGGGTGTTGAAGGGTTTCCCTCTCCTAATACATCTTCTTTTTGGGGCTGTCCACTCAGTTACACGGCTCACAGCACAAGAGGCTCATTAAAATGCATACCCCTGAACTGGAGGATGTAACCCTTTAAATCCCTCAGGCCCTGGCTAAGTTAGCTTCTCAGTGGGTGACGCACTTACCATGCTGTGGGAAGGGAGTATAGAACAAGTAGTTTTGATGACATGAGAAAGAATCTAGAATATGGGGAAGAGTTTGTCTATCAAATGGCACCTCAAGGAATGAGAAAAGATGTGGCAGGGTTCAGAGTGGTCACCATTTCCCTCTACTGGTTTTACTTGAAGTAAGATTTAATAATGGGGAAAAAGGATAGGGGGGTGGGGAAGAAGTCATTACAGGTGCTTAATTAACATTTAGTCTAATTCTATTGCTGGGGATCATCAGTGCCTACGAGAGTAACAGATATCTGGGTAAAAATTCGTAAAGCAACCAGATTTTGACCTCCTCTTGTTCCTATTTGTAGCTTAATTTGTAAAAAAAAAAAAAAAAAAAGTCATCACTAAGTAACAGAGACATACAACGTATTGAGAGACACAGGCCTCCTGACTGGCAGAACTCACACTCTAAGAACACCAAGGACACGCATGCCCAAGAAAGCAAGCTGTAGAATTTTATGGGAAAAGTGGTGACTATGAATATTCTCTGGGTTTTATCCAGCTTCAAAGTAACAAGGCTCAGACCACAGCCTTGGCTACCCACAATATAATATTCTTTGCTAAGAGTAGATAATCCATTCTAGAGGAAGCTCTGACAGCAAAAGTTTAAAGAGAAATTAAGAGAAGTGACTACAGAATAATTAGAATTTTAAACAGAGACGATAACAAGTAAAAGCTCACATTTAAACCTACTGGCCCAAGCCAACTTGGCTGATAATAAAACCTTCTGCTTAGAATGTACCAAAATTTCCTTTGTTTGCA